AGGATTCATCTAAGTATAAATTAACCAATGCACAATAAATATCTAACAAACAGTTATTGATTTCTGACTTTAACCTAATAATTATGTTGGGGATATGAAGTATATTAATGACTATTTGCCAAAAGTAGTCAAGGAGTTCTCATAAAATTTATAACCTATTAAAAGGTAAATTAATATTTTAATAGATTTTGATTTATTGTTATTAAGGACAAAGGATGAAAGTGGAGTTAGAAGTAACAGTAGTTTGTCTCTGCCTTTGCCATTTTGTTTTCACATTCATTATCTCATTGGATTTTAAAAACATTCTTGTGTGATAAGCAGGGCAAAGATTTGTTGAATAGGTCCAAGTTTGATGAATACAATTGAAACTTAACACATTGATTAAGTATTGTCCCACAGACACATAAGAAGAGTAGATATTTGGGTAAATACCTATTATCTTTGTTTCGATGATCAGAAATTATTTCTTCTTTTTTCATCTTTGTAAAAATATTTTATAAATATTTTGCATACTTAGCACTGTTAAATGAAGCTATATTTTATATTGTACTGTGGAACTTTTGCAATTCTGATCCCAAAAGAGCCCTGTACAAAAATTCTCAATTAAAAAGACTTGATATTTTAGGAAAAAATCCTTTACTTAATTTGTTCAGTTTGTTAAGGAGTTCTTTTGTTTACAGAACTGTGGAGGGGAACTTAATGATAGGGATCAGGTAGTCTAATTAGGTCTTATATTCTATTTTAGGTAAATCCAATTTAGTAGTAAGTATGCCAGACTCCTAACCCTGTGATTAAAATTCTGAATCTCAAGAAGCTAAGATGCTAGACTGCAATATCTATGTCTAAACACACATACCCAACATAACTTTTATAGATTTTTTTCTATGCTTTCAAATTAGCACTATTGAGAATATTTTCTACTTTTTAATTATAAATAGCTAATGATTATGGAGAATTAAGTGTTATCCTTTGATCTGCAAAGTAAAAAACAATAAAACCTTAGAAAATCAGTTAATTCCTTTGATCTCTAGGTTGCAACAAATTCTAACCTTAAACTAACTCCGATTAATACCTTACAATTTACAAGTTATTTTCATTTTTATCATGCTCTTTTAAACAATTCAGAAACAGGTTCAGTAAAGTGACTTGCTAAACATAATGGTTAGTAGGGTGTATGTATATTAAAGGAAAGATACTGATGAAAGGGAATGATCAAGTATGTAGAAACTAGATAGGAGGATTGCACAGAACTAAGCAAACATGAATGTAAGATTCCTGAGAAGATAGGAGAAGATAGACTCCATAGCACAGGTGGCTAATGGCCTTTAGGAATCAATGCAGTGGAGGTCTAGAAGGAATCAAAGAATCAAAATCCAAAATTTTGGTAGCAGTCCACAAGTAAATAAGAATGCTTAGAATATTGACTTGGGAAGAAAGAACACATGTGATAGCAAAGGAAGTGAGTGTCTGAGGTGTAGTAGAAGGTTATTGAAGGTCAAGAGATGAAGGGGTCAAGGAACAGAGAGTCCAGACTTTGGATGGATTGTCTACTGGAGTAATGATATCCAGCATAATGACAGGAATTGAAGCATGAAGGAAGACTCTGTGAGTTAAGTGTCTAATTTTTGATAACTGAGGGAGAATGATTAGAAGGTCAATACTTGACAGTCACAAGGATGGGAAAAAAGTGCTATACACAGATAGCATAAGCATAAAAGATACATAATATTTTTATAGAAGCCAGTGAGAATAATGATCTGGAACAAAGGAGAGTATCAATAATGATATCTAAACTATGAAATAATACACAATCACCACTTGAAGGCTATAAAGAGAAAATGTACCTTCTGTAGAGCTAGGTTTCAGAGATGGCAAAAATGTGGAAGGAATGCTTGGAGAAGAGGTTGAAAATAAAGGGAAGTGTGCTAATGCTAGAAAGCAAGAAAGCACAGACTATCATGGGGATGATTGTGCAGTAGAGTGTTGTGGCAAAGGGCAGCTGGGAGTGGGAAGAGGCGGGGGAGCTTACATTTTAGATGACTGCAGTGTTAAGAATAATGGCAGATTTAGTTTCAGTGTTTTTGAGGAGGTTGGATTCTGGGTCTAATAGACAGAAGACTTGGCTTACTTAGTTTGAATGAGTAGGTAGTTACTGCAATTGCAACAAGTTTGGGTAGCTCCTCCTGTGTGGCTTGGAGGTGGGAGGGGGCCTAGGTAATAATGCCAGCAACTAAAGACATCAAAGCTAGAGTAGGATCATAAGCTATAGCTATGAACTTTGTAGCTATGAACATTCAGCCTTACATTGCAAGGATAGATCCAACTTGTTCATGTTTTGTCTTTTACATACACTGTTGGATTTGAGTTGCTAATATTTTATTTAGAATTTTTGCTTCCATAATCTGTTTCTTGTCAGTTTTATAGATTTAACTTGTAAATACAACTAGACCTTGTGTTTGTTTCAGGATAATATCTTGTAACTACTGTTCTGGTTTATTTCCTGGTTAGAGGATTATTCAGACTTTCTATTTTTCTTAAGTAAGTTCTGATAAGGTGTATTTTTCTAGAAGTTTGTCTTTTTTTTCTGTTTTCAAGAAAGAAAAAGATATAAAATGTCTTATATGTTCATAATGTTTTATATCGTTTAAATCTCACCTCCATCTGTGAATATGTTTTAAAAAAATTCCTAGTGTTGTTTATTTGTAATGTTGTTTATTTGGTGCTTTTATTTGGTGCTTTTACCACCCTACCACATTCCCTGCCATAAATCTGGCAGATACTTCTCTATTTTGTTAGTCTTATTAAATGACCAACCTTTGGCATCGTGCATTCTGTCTATAGAATTTATATTTCATTAATTTCTGCTCATATTTATTCTCTCATTTTTCTACTTTCTTGGTTTACTTTATTGTCTTAAGTTATTAGGTTGTATACTCAGGTTATTTATTTTAAGTCTTTCTTTTGTAATTTATGTTTTTAATAATAAAAATTTCCCTCATCTGCCTTTTTTGCTTTATCCCAGAAGTTTTGGTATATTTTTATTATTTTTCAGTTTTAAGAATTTTAGATTTCTAGTATAATTTTTCTTTGACATACAAGTTTTTTAGGTATTTGTATATTTTCATTAATAACAAATACATATTTGTTATTAATTTCTTCTTAATTGCATTGTGGTCCTAAAGTATGATGTCCTATAGCATCCTAGTTTATTATTAGCTTTAGAAAATGTTCCTGTGTGTTGGAGACAAAAAATGAGGCTACTTCACTAATTATTGGTTGCAGTGTTTTATATATGTTCCTTATATTCAGCTTGTAAATTATGTGGTTAATATCTGCATAGATACTAATTTTTTGTTAATTGATTATCAAAGATTGAAAGAACTGTGCTGAAATCTCTGTCATTGGGTTGTCGCATACTCCCTATATTTCATCAATTTTACCATGTATATTTTATAACATTTTATTAAGTGTATGTAAGTTTTAATTATTAGCTCTTCCTGGTGAAATATACCATTTTATCATTCTGTAATGACATAAGTAATATTGCATTGTATGTATATATAATATATATTTCTGGCCGGGCATGGTGGCTCAGGCCTGTAATCCTAGCACTCTGGGAGGCTGAGGCGGGTGGATTGCTCAAGGTCAGGAGTTCGAAACCAACCTGAGCAAGAGCGAGACCCCATCTCTACTATAAATAGAAAGAAATTAATTGGCCAACTAATATATATAGAAAAAATTAGCCAGGCATGGTGGCACATGCCTGTAGTACCAGCTACTTGAAAGACCGAGGCAGGAGGATTGCTTGAGCCCAGGAGTTTGAAGTTGCTGTGAGCTAGGCTGACGCCACAGCACTCACTCTAGCCTGGGCAACACAGCGAGACTCTGTCTCAAAAAACAGAACAAAACAAAACATATATTTCTACACACAGAATTATATTCTATATATTCTATTTAGTCATGCTTTTCCTCTTTAAAGTTATTCATCTGATATTAAGTGATACTTGCTTTTTTAAAATTATATTTGCTTAATACTGCTTTTCTACCATTTCACATCCTGCTTTTCTCTGTTCTTATGCTTTCAATATATCTCTTTTGAATAGCAAGTGCCTAGGTTTGTAAAAAGTCTAATTAGGCAATATACACCTTTTAACTATCAACTGTAAACTACTTATGTTTTTTGTTACCATTATTATGTCTGGAATGATTGCTACTTAAAATTTTTACTCTGGAACAGAGAATAGTAAAGTAACTCTGGTTTCAAATAGATAGCAATTTACTGCTGCTCCTTCAGAAAAGCTAAATGGAGGTTTAAAAGTTCTCCCCATTCCCACACCAAAATAAAAGCAACAAAAAATAAAATTAAAAATCTTCATTCAAATGCTTGAAGAAAGGAAAAAATAAATTGCAGGAAAAATTATTAGCAAAAATGGCATCTGTATTATTTTTAATACAAGGTAATTATCATGCAGAACCATGTCCTTATTACTCTATACTTCTGTGGGACTTTCACAATTATCGTGCAAATCTCTGTAATTCAAATTACTCAGCAAGTTCAATCTCACGTGTAATTATCATTGTCTGTTGAAAATGCATCTAATTTGTTGCAACAGGAATCCTGTAGGGGAGATAATTGTGTGTTGTCAGCAATGAATAAATGTAAAACTTTAAAAATGAATTACTGTTTTTGAGATAACGTGTTAAAATCAATCTAGTATGTGTTCAGGATTGGTAGCGGGGAATGGACAGTCTGAAATAAAGTAGCCTACGGTGAAACACATGGTTTTGTGAAAAACTAATTTTTAGGAGCAATTTCTTAAATACTGTGACAAAAAAAAAAAAATCCCTGAAAGATAAACATACTTTGACAGTTGTTGTAGCTGAGAGCCTCAAGTAAAGATAAAATTTAATGTATTCCTTAAATGCTATTGTCCAAATAATGAAAGTTCATAATTGAAAACTATGATTACCATATATTCACTTTGTTCTCTTTGCTATAGCCATGCCCATTGTATTACTCTTTGGAGTTGTGGGACTTAACTGAAGCATCCTCTGGATTCTAGGTAACTTTAAAAGAATTTTTATGCAGAATTGACATATGGACTTGAAATATATTAAGATAGATCTTCTAATCTTATAGAATCCTGAGTTTTGCTGTGTTGGTGACTGCTAGGTAAGAAGTATGATGTGATGGGAAAAGCATAGGAACCACAGTTAGGAGGCCCAAGGTTAAGTTCAAACTCTGTATCTTAAAAACTGTATAAACCTAAACCGCAGACACTTTAATTTTGTCATCTTTGATCAGGATATATTAAAAACATGGCTCTGCTTACCTCATAGGACAATTGTGTTCTAATAATTCTTCAAAAATATAATGTATGTGTAATTATTATGTATTATAACATATCATTAAAATGTTATTGTAGCTGTTATTTGGGGCCCCCAAACTACTATTCCAGTATGTATGGAATTGCCTTTACGTGAATTTGTTAGCAATCATGAACATGCATAATGTTTGACCCTTATATATGTTTCAGGAATATACTACTCAATGTGTTCATGAAATGCTTTATTTTCATAACAGGACATATAAACAACTCCCTATGACAGATGCATTTGTAAATAACTTTTCAAATTTTTCTTACTAAAGGCACAATGATTATTGAAATAGAACCTATCTTAAAAATAAAAGTAAAATGATTATTGTGTGTATATATATATATATATAATTTGATACATTGCATCAAGTTTTTTCAAGTTCAATTGCTGTAAAACATGGTAACTATTTTGTCATAAAACCTGCATATTTTTTTATCTAGGTTTATGTCAATACCATTATAATCTTTATATGTTTTTTCATATTTCAAAATTTCAATTAGAGATCAAACTCTTGAAAATTTACTAGAGAAATATTTCTATTGAATTTACATTCTTCTGAAAAGAATATCTTTTCCCAGTAATGGGAGGCACAGTATCTATAGTTACTTCACTCCCGCAACTCACAGGTCATCAAGAAGAGCATCTATATCTCCAAATGTTTCAGAGTGTAAATCAAAAAATCTTACAATTCCACTTCTTTGCATTTGTCTCACTGATGTTCCAAGAATGCTTTCATCTGCCTGGCCTGACAGACTTAGGATTCCCTTACCCATTCACAATCTTTTATGGATCAGTCTGCTGTGAACGTGAAGGCTGGGAGTTGTGGAGCCCAGTTAGGAAATGATTGCAGTGGCCCAGAAGACAGATGATGGTAATTAAGTTTCCATCAGCATGGAACTCAGGAGACAGAAGATATATATTTTGAATGCAGAAGTAAGTGGTTCTCAACTGGGGGTGATTTTTCAATCCAGAGGATACTTGGCAATATCTGAAGATACCAGGAGAGGGTTGCTAATGGCTTCTAGTGGGTAGAGGCCAGAGATGCTGCTAAACATCCTTCAATGGACAAAACAACTCCCCACAACAAAGAATTTTCTGGCCCAAAATGTCAACAGTGGTGAATTTTAGAGGTCATGGTATAACTTTTCAATAGTACCTGAAGCCATCAGAGTGAGTAATAGCATCCAAAGATAGGGAGGAACTAAAAAGAAAAAAAAAAAGAAACAAACACCCAGCAATATACAAGGAGCATAAGAAGAAAGACAGGCCAAAAGATAAGACTGAGAATGAATGATTATGGGAGTAGAGAAGAAACTGGAGTGTGGTATCATGAAAACCAAGCGAGGACAAAATTTGTGAGTAGTCATCAGCATTCAATGGAGCCCCATATTAAGTTAGATGAGAACTGTTGAGTCTAAGGGGTTTGGTGGTTAGGTGGTTGTGTTAAATATCCTCCATTTGCCTCTTAAGATTCACTTTCTGTCTTCCTCTATCCTGCAGGACAGGTCAACCAGAGAAGGTTGACTTAACAGATTTCATCAACTGAGTTCTCTTGCCCTCTGGTTTCCATTTGAGTTCAGACAATGAGAGGCACTGAAAAAAAATAGGAAGCCAGGTGTGGTGGCTCACACCTGTCAACCCAGCACTTTGGGAAACCAAGGCAGGAAGATTGCTTGAGTCCAGGAATTTGAGATCCGCCTGGGCAACATAGCAAGACCCTATCTCTAAAAATAGTAACCATGCATGGTGGCATGTGCCTATACAACTAGCTAGTTGGGAGGCTGAGGCAGGAGGATCACTTGAGCCAAAGAGTTTGAGACTGTAGTGAGCTATGATCACACGATTGTGCTCTGTTTGGACAACAAAGCAAGGCCTTGTCTCTGAAAAAAAGAAAGAAAGAAAAGAGAGCAAGAGGAGAGCTCAGGTTATTTTTTTTCCCCCATTCCTCTCTCCCTGCTGGGCTATAGATTGGCAGGGGCAGTGTTTCTTTCCCAAAAGGTAGAACTCCCATTCGGCAGCTTTTTCCTATAGGTCTCACTGGTTTCTTGTCCCTTCAAGTCCTGTAGGTAGTAATCACGTTCACCTGTTAATATCCCTGTGGTGCTTCACAAGTTGTTAGTTTCCTGCCTATAACATTGCAAATAGTCTTTTCCTTAAACTCCCTTCAAGCATACCTTTTCTGGTTGTACCGTTTCCTGCTAGGGACCTGCTTGAAACAGAGTTCGTTGATGTTTATCAGAACCATTTTCAGTGGAGTGGTTGAGGCAGATAGGTGGAGAAGTGAATGGAAAGAATACTACTATTATTATCCTTATTTTACAGATGAGGAAACGGGTACAGAGAGGTTAACTAATTTGCCCAAGGTTGCAAAATTAGTGAGTAGATTCAAACCTAGGAGGTCTGGCAGTGGTGCTCAAGATATTAACCACCACTAAAATATAGACATGTAGATAAAAATGTAGATGCATTTATCATCTATTGCTTGTTTAAATGTTTTCTTTACCTTTAGTTCCCTGAGGTCAAGGACAATGCCTGTCACATTGCAGCTTATTAATAAGTCTTTTTGAACAAGTCAATGATTTTCTCACTTTACAGCTTAATTTTGTTATTTCCTAAAAATTTTCCTATTGTTTTCCCATTATTTTACAACTAACACTCTTGGCTTTTCCTTCAAGTCTGTTCCAGTTATTATTTGGGTGGTTTGTTATGAGACATGTTATGACATTTTAAACCCTTACATTTAAAACTTCATTCTTTGGCAGAGACAAAAATGATCTCTTTCTCTCCTCCTGCCAAATAAAACAGCAGATTAAGTGTTTACATGAGAGGAGTTTGTAATCCAGGATTTCTGCAGCAGCAGGTTTCAAATATTCTAGTCAAATCCTGCCTTTTGTTCGACTCTTCCTGATGAGTGTTATGATCAAAGCTGTACCCTGGCATCCATTAGTCACCAAGTGCTTATTTTGAAAATGGTTGCTATCATCATTTACTCTCCACACAGGTGCCACCTAGTTACTTTTGTTTTGGCAATTATGGGTTAAATACATTCCTGGGCTTAGTCCTGCTTAAGCTTGCTAGCACTCTATTTTAAATCAAGGCACCATGGGTTATTTCTTTCAAGAGTAAAGCTTTCTTTAAATAAGAATTTTTCAAAGCACTCATTTTTATTCATCTTTTCTATAGATAAGAGTCTTTCACTGTTTAGCCTTGCTTTACTGCCCCTGGCCTACAAAACTGCACCACACCGAAGTTAACAATGACTAGTGATTGAAAAGAACATATATTTTATTCTTAAAATATTATTCTCTTTTGAGATGCATATTTGATTCTCTTTCCTCACTGCCTTGACACCATCCTTTTAAGTATTTACTTTCAGTCCACAGAATTAATGTCAATCTAAAGAGTTGTCCTACTAGGGAGTTTCTGAATTATAATTATATCATGCAAGGACCCTGTTTTTTTTTTTTTTTGCTATAGCTTTTTAGGTTCAGTAATTCTTTAGCAGAGAACTCTATAAGTGATTCATACATCTGTTAGCAATTAGTTGATAGGAGAAAACATGTTGAAGTATTTTTTAAAAGCTTCTAATTTTTATGCATAGTTACCCTGCGTGTCTCCTTTGTAGCATTTTTTTCTCCATCTAATATGAATATTACTCATCAACTTAGAAATAGTCCATGGGGTATTTAAAATAGTTTTCCCAATTTATAGAGAGGAATAGAGGATGGAATTTTAGATTCATTAACAAAAACACTCAGACCGTGTGTTCATAACTGATCATAGGAATTGTATCTTATTCATCTTTTTATCACTAATATCTAGTACAATTGCAGATCTTTTTTCTCTTTCCCATTCTTTTCCTCCTTTCCTCTAGTTGAGATATAGGCTTTTGGCGTCTAGGAGATAGGCAAGGCTGGAGATATGAATTGAGAGTGGCCTTAATATGAATGGTATTTACGACTATGGACAGGAGGTGATTACCTAGGATGTTTGGAGAAGAAGTCAGCAAAAGAGACTTAGAAAGAATAGTCAGTATGTCTACGGCCATACCACCCTGAACTCGCCCGATCTCGTATGTTCGAGAAAGAATAGTCAGTAGAAGGCAAACAAGCAGTGTGTCATCAAAGAAGCCAAAAGAAGTGACTTGAAAACAGGAGGAGATAATCAACTCTGGTACATGCTTATAGGAGATAGAATAAAATAAGGAATGAGAATTAGAATTGGCTATTAAGTTTGACAAGATGAGTACAACTGTAATTAGAGTGCTTGGGATGAAGGCTTGATTGGAGTGAGATAAAAAAATTAGACATGAGGAATAAAGATGGTGACTTTGGATACCTCTTTTGAAAGATGTGATCGTAAAGGAAAGCAGAGAAGTGAGTGATAGCTGGAAATTTTCAATTATAGGTGGGTATATTTCAAATAGTGGGCAATTTTAAAACTCACTTGTAAGCCAATATGAATAAGACATTATAGAGTAAGAAAAATGATTGAGGTGGGGACAGGGAATAATTGCAGTAGAAGAATTATTGAATGAGTGAAAAGAATAAGATCCACGGCACAGTTAGATCAGGTGGCCTTAGACAGAATGGGCACTTCTCCCGTTGTGACACCAGTAGGAACAGGGCTTTGCTGCAGCTGCACATTTTAGATCTGGTGATGGAAAGATGAGGTAGGTCTCATCTGATAACTTCTATTTCTCGAAGAAGTATGAGCAAGGTGAAATGTTTGGAGTAAGGGGAAGGGGTGTAAACGATTTAAGGAAAAGGAGAAAAGCTATACAGTAGTCATTTAGGAGAGTGAAGATTAGAACTTGTGGCAAATGTTTGATTCAGAGGAAAATGTGCAAACCCGCTTTAAGCAGGAAATCCATTTCTAGGTGTTTGTCAAGCACCGTATCTTCAACTGTAGCCGTGTCACTTCAGTTCCCACTCACGATTGTTATTCTCCTCTGATTCAGACACGTAGAAATTTCTCTTATCTTGCTTGTCAGCTTATTCATGCCTTTTAAAACATTTTTATTTTTATTTATTTAATTTTTTAGAGATAGGAACTTGCTTTGTCACCCTGGCTGGAGTACAGGGGTGCAATCATAGCTCACTGGAGCCTCGAACTCCTGGGCTCAAGCTAGTCTGCTGCCTCAACCTCCCAAGTAGCTGGGAATGCAAGCACACGGCACTACACCTGTCTTTAAAAACATTTTTTAAATTATATTTTATTTTCTACTTCCATTTGTGTGGAAGGAGAGACTTCCAAATGCTTTCCATGGAAATAAAAATAAAACTCCCACTTCACCCCTCTGAGTCTCAGTTTCACTATTTATAAAATGAGAGTGAGCTTATCTATATGCAGATTTATAGTTATGAATGAGAGATGATACATATAAAATATTGGCCTTTAATAGACAATCAATAAATGATAATTTTAATTTTTGTTACTACTAAATATTATTCTTTCATCTAGAGAATAAAAAGACCTTGCTTCCATTCTGCTTTTATAGCAGATACTTTTAAAATATATATATATATAACTTTAACTTGGCACAATGTTCCTAAGTTTCTTATGCATAGATTTGGTTGGAATATCAGATGTTTTACTGAATTATAACTTTTTTGTATTTTGGAATTTATAATGTTTTTAGGGCCTTCGATAATATAATACTTGAGAAAGAATAGACTTCAAACAGAAAATTTATTTCCTCATGAGATTTTATTCTTATTACATAGATAAAATTATAATTAATAATATAATTTGAAAAGCCCAAATATTAGTAACAAGGGGTGAGGAGTAAAAAAGCTAACACATAACTTGAAAGGGATTTTTGAAAAGTGTCAGATGTTATCCACATCCTCTTTGTCTGCTAACAATATTGCTGAAGACTATAATTTTTTTGTAGTAAAGCATTATATTAATTTGAATAACTAGCACTAAGAAATGCTAATAACACAATGTTAGTGTCATTCTTTTTCTCAAAATTAGAACAGCCATGGCCACACTTGGTGTCTTCTAAAGGAATATGGATACTACCAAAATCAACGTTCAGTGATAAAGGATAAATATGAGCTATTGACATGGTGACTCTTTATTCCATATCTTCTTCATCCGTGTTGGGCTGCTCTAGGGCATGTACCTCTTTTTCAGGTAGTAACCCATATTCATTTAGGAAAGACTCCACGTCTCCAGCAAAAAATTCTTCAGCAAACTGTTCAGTAACACTAATAAAATTGCTTATGAGTTCCCCACCTTTGTAGATGAGCAGTGTGGGGAGCACATCTGAGGAAAAGCGGTCCCCAGCGCCTGTATTAGAAGCTTTTATTTTACAGAATTTGACTATAGGGTATTCTGCTGCGAGGCACGTTAAACTGCTGTTTAGAGCGTCACAACCCTTAATACCGTCTTCATAAATGTGGACAACGATGGTGGTGATCTTCTGCTCCTTTTCGATCGTTTCCAGGAATTGCTCCCCGGTTTCCAGCTCGTACACAAAGCCATACCTAGGCCCAAAACTCAGCTTCTGGTGCATGTCCTGCATGCACTGTCTGCGGTATTTCCGAAGGCAGTTTTCGTCCTCTTTGCCTTGCTGGATAAGTTCATATTCTTGAATGCTCATCTGAGAACAGATGAGAGAAATGATAGAAATCATTCAGTCAGAAATTTATATTCCTTAGATACACCCATGCCTATTCCCAACTCAAAGAAGTCTGCTTTTGCTGTTTTCTCCCACTGGACCATCTAGCCTTTACTCCTGATGTGACCTTTCTTTCACCTCATGGAAGCTTTTTGTTCAAATGTCACCTTCCTTGATAACTTTATCTAAAAGAGCCCTCATCTCAATTCTTTATACTGGTTTATCTTCTTCATAGCAGTAAATACTACCTGACCTTGTGTTATATATTTATTTGTTTAATTGTTTAATATTAGTTTTTCTAACTGGTATGTTTCACACGGGCAGGAATTTTATTTGTCTCATTCATCATTCTAGCTTTAACATTTGCCATAATGTCTGGCACATAACAGGAGTTCAATAATTATTCCATGATTAAATGCATATATAACTATTGCTGAATATAGGGGAGCCATGATATGCACACAGTCTCAGGCAGAAATATGTCAATTAACTGTGCACTAATTTGAGTGGGAATAAAACCCCAACAAGTTCTGCTCTGGGTTTCACCATAAAGGAAAATACACACACACACACACATTTAAATGTGTCTACCACAAATGCCTCTGGACATTAGTGTCCCCTTCACAAAAGCTGTTAAAAGGATTATATCTTAAAACTTAATGATTTTTTTTTTTTTTTTAGAATATATAGGGTGGAATTCAAGCAAGACAGCTTTTGCTACTATTTAGAGTTCATCACATGAGCCAAGAGGTTAACTGATGGACCAGCAGCATCAGCATCACTGGGGAACTTCTTGAAAATGCAAATATTTGGGTACTACCCCAGATCTACTGAATCAGAACCTATAAAGGTGAGGCTGAGTAAGCCATATTTTTGCAAGCCCTCCAGGTTATTGTTACTTTCTGATTTAGGCCAAAATGAGAAAAAACCTAAGTTTCATTTCCCAAAACAGCCATTTTTTAATAAAATTACCTGCACAGACTTTCATAACAGCTACTCCATTATTATTGTATTCAGTAGAATATTAAGCACTCATTCCCCCAAACAAAACAAACAAAAAAGACACAAGGCAGCATTGGGACATGGTGTGATAGATAGACATAGGGCAGCCCGAAGCCACGGAAGTTAGATGGTCCCAAGTAGGATCATCTACTGCTGCCTTATCATCATGTAACCTGTCAAATAGCAACCACTGTCAATTTTTAAAGTAGAGGAGAATTGAGAAGGCAAGAAATGAATGTTCATGGAAAATCTACCATGTCTTAGGCACTTTACATATTTCATGTTAGTTAATCATCACAAATAACCTCTGAGGGTAGGTATTATTAGTGTAATTTTACAAAAGAAGATACTGTGATTCAGGTTAAGTATAAATATCTGATACTTTCATTACTTCTTTCTTTTGTTTCTGTTTCTTTTGTTTTCCTAATATCCTCATATAATTTTCTTATTTATTTTTTCTATCTTAGGCTTATTATCCCATTTAGTTTGTCTTAAATCTAAGAATTGTTTTATGTTTTGTATAATTCTTAAATTGCTACCATACTTTTGTTAATTTTACAGACCAAACCACACAAATATTGATTTAAAGATGCATTTGAGCATTCATATGAGAACTTGTTTCTTTTGCATATTCAGGCATCTAGATATTTAGGCATTCAGATACATTTCTAAAGCTTAACCATTGTACAAAACTTTTAACAATTATAATGTGTCACATTTGTGTAATATTTTACATGTTTCATACCACTTTTACATTTATTTTCTCTTCACATCTCTTCAAAACAAATGGGGGAGTTTTGTTACAATTCCTCAGATGGGGAAATTTGGTTGTCTTACATTATGTAGTGACTCAGTGAAGGAACCAACCTATCCCTCCCCCAAATTTTAGAATTGCAGATTTGTACAATGGTCAGAAGCCTGGGATCAAGGCATATTTCTGATCATTGTTGAAAAATCTGTATACAACAACTCATATTCACTAGCTTGTGAATAAATAATCTACTAACGTGATTTTTCCTCACAATAGAAATTACTTTATGATTTCTTATATTATTATCATTTTTATTATTGTTATATAAATTATACATACTAATTGTGATGATTCAAAAATGACCTAAAAGCTAAGGGAGGAAAGTAATTAATATGGAATTTCACCACCCTAATACTCTGAGATTATCTCCATTAACCTTTTAGAGATGATTTTTTAATATATCTCTTTATGCATGTAGACATACATATTATATAACTCAAATAAAAATGCTGCTTTTTAAAAATTTGTGGATATCTTTTTTTTTTAAAGTTGTGGCTTATTTTTCTCGCCTTCTTCCTCCTTGTCTTCTCCCAACCAATCTCATCCTCAAATTACCAATATTGTCAACTTAGTGAGTGTCTTTCTGTACTTTTGTATATACAAACTCATAGGCTCATAATCATAAGAACATATACAAAGGTATCTTTTTTGTTCTAGAGAATCAGATCATGCAATTTAAAATTGTCTGTATTCTGCTTTTTCATATTGTGAAATTACCTCTAGGTCAACTCATATATTTGTAACTAATTCTTTTAATAGCTGCATGTATTTCTTAGTATGGAAAAGCTGGATAGGCATTCTTTACATTTCCTTTTTTTTTTTTTTTTTGCCAGTATAAACAATGCTGCAATCAATCTATTTTGTAAAGTGATCCTTTAGAGTCATGTAGATTAGAAAACACATTGTAAATTGTTATTGATTTTTTATCTTACCTTCCTGCTGATTCTTTCTTTTGAATCTTTGTCATCTCTACTCTGAGGAGAAGACATTTGCCTGAGAATCTCCTTCTTGCTAGGTGGGATTGAATCACTATCTTCACTCTCTAATTTAAACTTTCTCCAATCACTTATTACTCCTTTGGGTCCTGGAATAAAATTAAAAATGAACTGTTTCCATTTTTATTTTCAGAAGGACTATTTGCACAATAGTGTTGCAATTTGTGTAAGTGTTGCCATGAGAATAGGTGTCATCTTCTGCATCAGAAACAAACACATCGTTTGGACTACAGCTTTCTGGCTGCTCTGCTCTTAAAAATGTTCTCCTACATTAATTTATAAATGGATTTTGGCAAATAATCTTTCTGAAACATCTACATTAATGGAAATATAAATTATGCACTTTGAACGAATGGCAAAAGTTTGGGGTAAATATTAAATACATTAAAAAACTGGAGTATAGAGAAGAAACTAGAATTTTAGAAAAGTAGCACTTTTATCACATAAGAAAGACACTTCAGCAATAAACTAAAATTGGCACTATATTATTAATAAAGGAAACTCGGACTATCAGAGAAACAATAGTACACAAAAGACAACCAGTGAAAAGGAGGCCTGACCTCAACAAAACTAAAATAGCTTTAATAAAATCATTACATAATCATCCAATTCTTCTAATATTCTAATACAAATGCAGAAATATAGAAAGGATAAGATTTACAGATTTAAGAAATGCTAATTAAATAAAGGATGATCCAACTGGAATTCTGATATTCAGTTGACCTGATAACTAACAACAGTGCTTGGAAGAAGGTCTTAAATTCTTGAAAGCATACATTATTAAGCTGTATATCCCTCACTAAAACTTAGCCATATCCATACCTTTAATATTGTATTCTATATGTGAGTGTATCCTCTTTCTTCTCCATATTGCCTAATAATTTTATTTATATTATATATAATATGTAAATTCAATATAACTTTATTATAAATTTATATTATATTTAGGCAATCAAAGTTTTTTATTTTCTTATATAGTATTCGTCTTTTAGATATAGTTTATGTATATATGAAATATGCATGTGTGTGTGCTTATATACTTAGAAAAGAGAATCTTTTTTTCTCCTGTTTTCTACAAATGTAGATTGTACCACTTTACACTCCTATCAGCAATGCATGAGGGTGCCAAAAATGTTATTAAACTTTTTTTACTTTTACCAAGTCTGTGCAAAAATAATGCTATAGTTTAACTTTATGTGTCTTTTTCTCAGCTCCCCCCCCCCACAGCTGCACACCCCAACCACAGTGAACAGTCTTTCCTATCTTTTGCCTATTGTTCAATTTGGTTGTTTTTTTTTTTTTCTTATTGATTTGTAGAATTTCTTAATATGTATTAAGGAAATTAACCCTTTGTCAATTGAGTTACAAATGTTTTACCCCAATTTGTTAAATGTTTTTAAAATTTTACTCCTGGTGACTTTTGCCAGATATCAGACATTTCCTTCCTTTGTTCTCTTCTTCTCTCCCTCCATTCTTCCCTTTGTCTATCCTTCTTTCCCTCCTTCCTTTAACCGAATTTATCAGTTTTTTTAAAAAAAAAATTTTTAATTTTGTGTCATGCTTAGAAAGATATCCCTGATATTACTATTATAAAATGAATTCTCACACATTTTTTCTTGTATTTGTGTGCATTCACATTTCTGGCTTAATTTAAAGACTTCGGTCCAAGTTAAAGGAGAGAGGGAATTACTAGTCAAACAAGATTTAAAAAAGTTAAAAGAAACTTGAATTAAAAAATTTAAGTCATAGTATTTAACTTTTAAGCTCTCAGTAGTGGCATATAGATAGCCATACATAATTTAACAGATTAAGAAAACAAGCTCTAAATGAAATGAAGCCTTAGGTTTTCTGAAGGAATATTGAAACTCATTTGATTCAAGAATGTTTTATCATTCCCTTTAATTTAGATTCAAAAAAATTAAAATTAAATACTGTTTACCTTTTCTTCTGCTATTATTTACAGTAAAAGTCCACATTGGAGAAGAATTAGGAGAGGGGAAAATGGCTTAATTATAGTGCAAATTGAGAGCTAGTGTGATAGTTGAGCAGTGAGAAATGATCAATAATTAGTATTTTTCTTACTCTTTGACATCTCAATAAAACTGTGTTAAGAGCTATTTGATTTCAAATTAATTTGCCCACTCAAATATTTTTTAGATTATTCCATCAAATCATATGAAGGTATTGCCTATAACAAAACTCACTACTTAAATGGTGTCAATAAGAACATTACCTATTTCCAGATTTGATTTTAATTTAATAATTATTTTTCCTTCTGTGTTACTTGCCTGTATGTGTAGCCTGTCCTTCAAAGTCTTCCTCCAAACTTTGGCTTTTGGCTTCTTCCATTTTAGGGATTTGATTTGATATAATCTGTAAGATGAAAAAAGAGGTAACAATGACAGATTCCAAGATATATATACATATATTAATATAAACATATATGTATTTATCACTAAATGATAAAGTGTTTAGAATGTTTCTGTCTGCATTGGAAAAGGACATTAATTTAACACATGTTATTAAAGATGTATAGACATAAGGATTTTATATAATTCATGGTTTGTCTTTTATTACTTAAACCTTTTTTACTTCAACCTGTTCAGTTTCCTGATAAGTAGCTGTTCAAATCAATCTCTTTTATTTTGCAACAGTAGATTGTTAATTTAGGGTAGCTACTATTGTCAATAAATATACACAGGGTTTAAGAAAATCTAAAAATAATTTTATTTCAAATGCTGAAGAGACAGAGCATAGCTTCCTTCTTAACTTGCTTATTGCCTACTTAGTTCACAATTTAATGGGGAAAAAGGGATTTTATTTTTCAGAAAGGCTTTTACCAATTTCAAGGAAAAATAATCTAGTTATTTAAGACAAATCTGAGTCATAGACTGGATTAATATACGTTGAGAATAAACTATGGGTCATGCATTTCTCTGGGGGCTCTGAATTACATGAATAACAAAACTCTTTCATTATGGTGCTCATTAATACTAAAACTTAAATCAGCTGGGTTGCCTGTTTAAGTAAAAAACAGAATCCATCCTATCTAATAATTCCATTTGAGTTAGAGTACAAAGATTGGCAAAATTTGCTACTGTTTACTACCAGGGAAGCAGAGAACATATTGAAAGAAAAATGCTGAGTTATGGGCATGTTTACTTGCACTACTTAAAGCCTTTTAGAGGAAGGTAAAAGTGGAGTATGATTAGTTATTGATAGATTTGATCTACATTCCAGTTAGTTTCCCCCGTCACCAACCCACTCTGGGGTTTTCTGATTATCTCAATTTATTTTCTTCAAAATTTACATTAGCATCATAAAAGTGATTGGATTATTATTTTTAAGGTGCTTAGATCCTGACACATAGTAACTGCTCCCTGCATCTGTTAGATAAAATAAAAATGTATCTTCTGTGTATGAGTATAATATGTGTCATTTAAAAATATGAACAACATTTGGTTTGCAGTGGTACTATTAGTTGATAAAAAAATTCCATGTCTACTTTAGGTTAAAAGGTTTAAAATAATAATAGGATTATTATAAGGCTTTGGGTGATAGTGAGCACATATGTGATTAGAAATTGGTGATAAAGAGCAAGAAGACAGAAAAAATTGATACCTTCACCAAGATTTACTGTGGTGCAAAAGAATTACTGTATTTTCCAAATTATATAATTATAAACATTTGTGATGTTCTTTTTTTATTTTAAATAGTTATAATACTGTTTCAATGAATAAAATCTGTGTTAAGTAAAAATTGTATTTGGATGATCTTTGACAGAATATTGTTCATTTAAAAGGGTGTTACCAAGTTCTTCAAAAGTAAAAGTAAAAAGTTAATATTGGCAAGAAATACAGTTTAAAATATAATTTTATCAAGTTAGGGTTTTGTTTTCTTCTTAATTTAGGTTTTTAATGATAATTTAAAATAATAGCTTATATGGGATACGTTTCTCAAACTTTTCCCTCCAAACTCTAATACCTCCCAACTATGGGTTAGTAATTACCAAGAAATAAAATGAGATGAGTATAAATCGTTCTGCTTGTTGTTTCTGATTCACATATGATAGTGGCGATCTAGAATAGAAAGGAAGAGAGTAAAATTCTTAAATGTTAGTTTTAAAAGACTCTTAAAAAGCCCAAATCTACCCTTAAACATTTCATTATCATCATTATCCTTGTTCACTTGACACAGTAATAATTGTTACTCATTTCAAATCTGTTGATAAAATCTAATCAGAATATCTACTTTAGAATTGACTTATGGATTCTCAGTGTTACTTAAGAAGTGTTTTGCTTTCAAATTTATTTGTTGTAGTTTGGTGGTGGATTTTTAAATAATGGGATCATCTCATCACCATACCCTAGACTGACTTTTCTCCTAGATTCCACCACAATTTATACCTTTGAAGTTTACATGTTTTTCTCCATGGTTGTACGTTATTTGAAGAGAATCAATTTTTTACTTGTTTTTTTTTATCATTGTTTCACACATTGTAAATACTCCATAAATGACAGCGACACATTTTAAAGAACCTACTATGTGCCAGGTGCTCTGTACATGCTATTTTTAATTCTCACAAAACTATTATCCTTGTTTTTCAGATGTGGATTGTCAGGCTCTGAGAGATTCAGTGAATTGACGAAGCTCACAGAGGTGGTATGGGTAAGATAGAGCCAGGTTTCAAATCTCTGACTCTCAAATCTCCCAAATCCTTCCTTTTTCTACTATACCATTGCTGCTTCTATAATATGGCATGCATTAACTAAAGAAGCCAACCTAATTTTTTATATTTGCATTAAAATCAAGATAAGGATATGAAAATAACAAATCAGTTAGTCATCATATTCCTAAATTCTTTGAGGTAGTACTTATTTGAATGATAGATTTCTGCTTTGGATTAAATCTCATTAGTAATGTAATAGAAGAGTCTGTTTATTTTGAGTTAACTGAATTAATTCTAAGTGACTGGTATTGACTCTGGAAGGTCAAGACAACAGACAGCAGGCCTGTGCTGATTCTTGACAGTCATGCGAATTGAGAACTTATTACCAGTCTTGTGTCTCTAGGTCATATATAAAATCAATGGGAGGCCAAGGTGGGAGGATCAATTGAGAACAGGTATTTGAGACCAGCCTATGAAACACAGCAAGATCTTGTGTCTACGAAAAATAAAATTAAACAAAATAGCCAGGTGTGATGGCACGCACCTGTAGTCCTAGCTACTCAGTAGGCTAGGCAGGAGGATTGCTTCACTTGGGCCTAGGAGTTTGATGCTGCACTGAACAGAGTAAGACCCTATCTCTAAAAATTAAAAAAAAAGCATGTTTAATAGGCAATATGCATCAATTATATATATGTTAAAAAATTAGGAAATGCTCCATATAAAACTACTCTTGCATGTGTGGCAAAATTATGGAAATGTTACACTGTGAGCTTTGTGTGATATGTACAGTGAAGTGAGATATTTCACTCATAGACTCACATCAACCATTAAAAAAATTAATCATATACTTCAACGAATGGTATTTGATTTTAAAAATGTAATTGAAGTAACAATTCTATGGCCTTATAAATCTTTAAGATAAATTTCTAAAATTAAGTCTAATTCTTAGGCCTCTTATTATTTAGCCCAAGTTTTATATAAAAATCTTCTGAGCGTGTGGCTTATGTTTGAAAACTAATACTTCAGTGTCTCAAACTTTCTGCCACTTTTCTATTTGTCAAAAGTCACAAATAAACAGTTACAAGTTTCCTTTGTCTGCTTGGGCTGCTATAAGTAAATAGCAGCCCGATGCTGAAGTGGCTTAAAAATTTTTTTGTTTCCTCCTTGTTCCAGAGTCTAAAAGTCTCAGATCAAGATCTAGCAGGGCCAGTTTCTGGTGGGGGCCCTCTTCCTGCCTTGCAGACGGCTGGCTTCTCACGGTGCCTTCATATGGCAGACAGTAAGTGAGCTTTCTGGTGTCTCTTCTTGTAAGAACATTAATCCTAGAGAGTCAGGGCCATGCCCTTTGACCTTATTCAACCTTAATTACTTCTGTAAAGGTCCTATCTCCAAATATAGTCACATTTGCGGTTAGAGTTTCAATGTATGAATTTTGGGGAGGATAACATTCAGTCCATAGCTCCTGGTTCTTACTTTTGTAAAGGGTAAATTAAGCTATGTAGATGCTGGGTCCACTATTTCTATGCCTCCATAGTCTACCTTTTCCTTAATTTCTAAAGTTTTGGAGCCTCTGGATCTTTTTTCAGGGAACCTACCCATTAGAATTGCAGTTAGGGAGATGACAATCCCTAAAATTAACTCTTGGGATATCACAGAAGATCTCACAAAAATATAGGCCAGGATTCCCCTCTATGTTAGATAATACAAATGCCAGTTATTTCCTTGGCCATTTTCCTGGGTTGTTTTTATGTCCTAAGGAAAATATTGATGTTCTATGCTAACTGCAATAGAATCTAAGGTATTATTCTAAAAGTAAATCAGCAGACTGATGCATAGACTGAGGATAGAGTATATGTGCTCACCTTAGTCTAGGTCAGATCAAATAGCTAGTAGGAGACCTAAAAATATATTGTATAGCAATATTTTCCACACAGAGAAAGAATATCTTTAAGAATTTTAATAACTATTATTTTCCCTTGAGAAATAAGAGGCAAATGCTCAATAGAAGTAATCTATTTTATGTAGGAGGGCTGAGGTTCAGGTAAATACATATTCATTCAGTTTTTCTCTTTGCAGATTGTAATTAGAGGTTTTCAATGCCTTAATCTGGTATTGGTTTCCTAACTACAGAGTAAAGAGGTTAAACAACTAACCATTAAATTACCTCTCTACCTTTGACACACCTGACATCTTTCCATGGACATGCAAAATGCAGAAAACATAGAGCATTGAAGTAGCTCCAATGTGAAATTTTCATAGTAAGACAGTTTTATGTTTTTGTTGCTGTTGTTAAATTTAAAATAAACAATCTTCCTTCTTTTGTACACATGGATGCATATATTCCCTTTTGGAAACCAATGGAGTGAGAAGCTGCTTCAGAAAAGGTGCTGTACTAAAAATAGCATTATTGTGAGTGAATATGATTAAACATAGGACATAAATAAATGACTGGGAATCAGGTACTGAAGTGAAATTTTTTAAAAATTTATTTTTATTTTTTCCATTTTAATTAATTAACTGATTAATTAATTATTTTTATTTCAGCATATTACTGGGGTACAATTGTTTAGGTTACATATATTGCCTTTTCCCCACCCAAGTCAGAGCTTCAAGCAAGTCCATCCTCCAGATGGTGCACACTGCACCCATTAGGTGTGAATATACCCATGCCCTCAACTAAAGTGGAATTTAGTAAGTTGTCTACCTTTAGGGCACTACCTGGCACACACTATACTGTGAAATGGCTGAAACCAAGCAAAACTTCTAGGTGGGCAAGACTGATAGACATTCTTCTTAACTTTAACTGTTGTTAGAAACCTAGATTCTGTGTCTTAATCTGTGTTCCACAAGGATGTCACACTGTATTCTGCTTACCCTTGCAGGGCTTCATGTCATAACTTTTTCTACCTCTAACTATACATCTCTCCTTGGGTCTCTGCTTTCCTGTGTTTTCCAAGGTGACTGTGAGCTAATCTGATCAACTAAGCCAGGCTAATGTGCTCACCAATACTAATATATTAATGTGAGATGTTTTAACCTCTGCCAGGAATATCTTCCCCAATGTCATAAAGGACTCCTCTAGAAAGCAGTTCTGCTTTTTCTTTCTTATTAAAATAAGTTATTAGTGGTGGAAATTTCACATAGGTAGGTCTGTGGCAGATCATGGACATATTTCTGGGCTTTGGGAGACCTCCACTGTATCTCAAATCATAAAGGTGGATCTAATTATTCACCCAAGCCATAATTTCTCTTTTTCTATCCCATGCCCCTATTTTTTTATTGACTTTGATATCGAGTGATGCCTAGCTAAGGGAGATATGTCCTTAGGTTCAATATTAATAAAGGGGGGTTCTATGCCTCATAGTATATCAGTTAATCTCTCTAATTATTCTCTAATTGATTTATTTATATTTGCCTTCTCTTCTTCAAAGGAGGAACCAAGCTTCTTGCAACAGGAACTATGCATTACAATGCTTCCCATGGCAGGATAGCATAATGATTCGCAGTTAAACACTTGTGTTCATGTTTAGCTCTGCCAATCACTGTCTGTGTGACCTGGGGCAAATCACTAATACCCTCTGTGATTTAGTTTTCTTTTCTTTTTCTTTTTTTTTTCTTTTTCTTTTTTGTTTGTTATTCAGGATATTATGGGAGAACAAATATTTTGGTTACATGTAATGTGTTTGCCCCGCCCAAGCCAGGGCTGCGCATGTCCCTCCCCCATACAGTGCGTTCTGCTTCCATTAGTTGGGGCTTTACCGCCCCCCAGCCGGCATATGCTTTAGTTTTCTGATCTGTAAAATTAGAGTAATTATTGTGTCTACTTCAAAAGGTCGTATGGGGATTAAATGAGTGAAATTATATAAATCGTGTAATATTTTGTATGAGGCACTTAATAGGTATTGAGCAAAGGCTTGATAATTAGTAAATAATTAAAAATTAAAAATACTAAAACCAAATATTTAAAATTAATAATGAATAGACTCAAACTAATCTAAATTTCATTTCAGAAATACTACAGGTATGCACGGCTTATGCCTAATTATCTTCCCTTCCCAAAGAATGTGTATGCACGTGTGTGTGTGTGTCTGACACACACACATATTGTACACTTTATCTCAAAACTATTTTATATTCTCCTATCTCATTACTAAGGTACTTTATTGTTATACTTTGATTTACTCCTAGTAATATCTATTTGCCATAAGGCATTTAAGAACATACAAAATAAAGAGCAGCCTAATTTGGAGTAATGAAATACAGGCAAATACAATGTACATGAAATCGCCTTTAAAACAATGGTAAAAAGGATTTTCTGAAATGTATTCCTAAGTGAGGAAATGGGAGTGATGATTTAATTCGAATGTAACATGCTTGTTCTTCAGTAAATTGGCTTTTCTACTCATGATTTTGCAAATACTGAGTGATTTCCTGTTAGATTTTCTTGTTTGCATTTCTGTCATAATGCTTTTATATTAATGTATCTTTTCTGAATTTTGGTTCTCTCAATGGTGTAGGGCTTTGCAGAGATGGTGGTATTGTGATGCTCAGGATTTCTATTGCTACCTTTAGTTATTCTAGTTGTTGGTTTTGGATAGGTCAACGTTTACATTTTGTGGTATCATGATCAAAGTTTCCTTTAAAAATAAATCCCCAGAAGCACGAATGGAATCCAGGACACATGGTCCTCAAAATGGCTGTAACAAATAAGAAAGTGGTCGGCACTCGGCAGATGTTGGTTTGCTTTCTTTTTCATATAAAACACACATCTTGATGTTACTGAAAACATTCCTTAGTTTGCATTACATTTTTCCCCAACTATCTAAGTTCATAGCAACTTTGATAGAAAAACTGTGATAGAAACTGTGATGTAAGATACAGCGGAACAGATGTAATGCTTTCTCACTTTCTACCCTACTCAAATAGTTTTGCTTTTTCTACAAACGGGACTGGGCAGGCGGGGGATGTAGGGAGCCTTTTAAACAATTTGTGTGTCAGGAATGCATAGCAAATAGCAATTTCCTTTTTGTCCACCTGTATCATCAGTAAAAACATTTATTCTGAGAAAATATGAGCTTTCAAAATTATAACTGAATTCTTGCTCCTAGTGAAAAGACAACCTACCCGGGTTTTCTGTTAAAACATACAGATATTCTCTTACTTGTTCTGGAGAAAATGGAAGTACCAGAATCCTCAAGGAAGTTCAGATCAGCTATGTTTTTTGAGTATCTCTTTATCTTGTAAATACACTATCCCAGAACATATTGTTTGAATTCCATTACAGACATTATCCTGAAAGTTTCATATATATTTTGACAAAAACTTATATAATATTCAATCTAGTTTACAAACAATATTTAGACAAAAATTGCCATGATGAATTAGATAATCTCTAAAGTTTTTTCTAGCTTTAATGTTAAGAGATTCTAAGTAGCATGTATAATGGCCTCTCTCTCTCTGTCTCTCTCTCTCTCTCTATATATATATATGTATATATATATTTAAAATAGATGCTATAGTTAAAAGCTATTTTTGCAGTTAATAAAAATACTCCATTTCAAAACAATTGAAAACTCTTACTGTACTCATTTTCATGATGCAAACTGTAAAGGTTAATAGTAATAAAAATCACCTCCATGGGAACAAAATACAAGAGAGATAAAACCAATTGAAAGAAAATTTTCACCTAATTTAACAAATATCAACAAACTGTCAGTATCCTTTTCTTTTAAAAACATTCCTTCTGTCTCATTAAATTTTTAAAGTAACCCTTGGAAACAGTAATTATTATCCCCATTTTAAAGACTAAAAACCAACAACAAAAAAACAACAAAAAATGTATTATTAATCAAAAACTCCCAAACATATAACTGGTTAAGTGTCTGATTCAGAGATCTGAGAATGTCTTAGCACTGAATGTAATATAATAGTCCCCTCTTAACATAGGTTTTTTGTGGTTTCAGTTACCCTCAGATCAACCTTGCTGCAAAAATCTTAAATGGAAAATTCCAGATATAAGCAATTTATAAGTTCTAAATTTTGTGTTGTTCTGAGTAGTGTGATGAAATCTCACCATTTTGCTTCGTGGTATTGCAGTGCTTGTGTTCAAGTTATTTACTTAATTTACTTATTTAATAATTTATTAAGTTATTTACTTAATAATGGTCCCAAAGCTCAGTATTAGTGAGGCTGGCATATTGTTATAATTGTTCTGTTTTATTATTACTTGTTGTTAATCTCTCATTGGGACTAGTTTATAATTTAAACTTTATCATAGGTGTGTATGTATAGGAAAAAATAAAGTATATCTGCTGTTTCAGGCCCCACTTGGGTCTTGGAACATATCTGCCTTGAATAAGGGGCAGGTACTGCACTCCCTTTCGCAGCTTGGGAGCCAAATCCTCGAACACAAAGGACAAGGAGTTAGCATTTCTTCCCTTCAGTTATCCCTTAACTCAGAGGAAATTTAGAATTTCAAAATTAATTCTTTATTCAGGGTTTTATTTTAACTGTCTAGAATATCAGACTCAAATTGCATATTTACTCTGAATTTTTATTAGTGAGATGACTAGTGCAAAATCATTTTAAGAGACCAAGATACATAGTATTTGTCTTTATAGTAGTGAAATCAGCACCTTATGTACTTTGAGTTATTTTAAAAGAACAAAATGATGCATAAACAATGAAATTATTATTCTTTCCCCTGAGGTAAAAATTTAAAGATTATATTATCAGGAAGACTTGTGGACTCACAGTTTGGGTCTCTGCGCCTGGTGTCCGTGATTATGCTCAGTGAATGAGAACCCCTGTCTACTGAACTCCTCTGAACTCAGGCAAGCTTAAGCTCAAATTTAAGATCCCTGGATATTGATGACCCTTGCAGAAATAGCTCTGAGCAGGTAATAGGATTGACATAAGAGAATTAACAAAGCCTATTCCTTAATAGTAGGGCAAAAACAAACAAAATAAAAATGAAATATAAAAGAACATCATATAATCTTTGTCCACCTATTTTTATGTTATTTGACAAAAAAAATCTCTTTCAGCATGAACTGATATCCATTCTCAGAAACTCATTTGCCATTTTCTAAAAGAAAAAAATTACAATTTTTTCTGATTAAGTTGTTTTTCTTGATCCAGCTATAATAATTATCCTGCTCAGCAACCTCATTTGGCATGGTCCATTTTTTTTTTCTTAAATTCACCAAACAGCTATTTTGTTTGTTTGTTGTGAGACAGCGTCTCTCACTCTATTGCCTGGGCTAGAGTGCAGTCGCGTCATCATAGCTCACTGCAACTTCAAAATCCTGGGCTCAAGCAATATTCTTGCCTCAGCCTCCCAAGTAGCTAGGACTACAGATGTGTGCCACCACAACTGGCTGTAGTTTTAATTTTATTTTTTGTAGAGACAGGGTTCCTCCATGTTTCTCAGGCTGGTCTTGAACTCCTGGGCTCAAGGGATCCTCCCTTCTTGACCTCCCAAAG